GTGTTGATGGTGGTGATACATACAGTTAACAAAACAGGATTACATATACAGATCTATACGTACACATATCCAAAGATAAGGGGTGTCCAATAGTTTTTAGACCCTATATGAATACCCATTGTCAAATAGTATTATACGACCCCAAATGTCACATAACAAGCTAAATTCTAACAGGCCGATGTAATGTAAACAAAAAAAATGTGAATGGCCGCTTAGAAAACTGCTAATCTAAAAGGGAGGTAACTCTAAAAATTGAATTCTTAGAACGTAAATTAACAATGTACAATTACGCAGAATTTATCAGACGTTATTTCAATTCCCTAGACATGTTTTCAACACTAAAATGCATATTTACACCCTTTTTTTTTTACTTATTCGCGAATTATAGACGGCTGTGAGTTACCTCGCTTTTATGATTTTCAGTTGCGTATACAGCCCGTTTTGTAAATGAACGCCATTAGATAAATTTTCTACCTCATAGTCCATTGCATTTAAGGATTAAATTATAAAGTTTGTTGTGATATTTTGTTTAACAAAAATGGTTGACAAATGTGTTGCATTTGGCTATTCTAGTGGATATGTTACTAACAGTGAAAAAGTATCGACATTTTTTTTCCTCTTGGAAAATCCGACCTCGTAGAAAAATAGATAAAAAACGTTAATCGTATTGATTGGTTTCCTACGAAAAATTCAGTTTTCTGTATGAAACATTTTGAAGAGAAATTTGTTTTGAAAAGAAAACGAAACAAACTAAATTAAGAATTACATCCAATACCTAGAGTACATTTTAGAAAAAATAAGAAAACAGTCTCTTTTGTCGAATACAAGGGAATTCAGAATGCCTCCAAAACAACGACTGGTCCAAACTGATAAATTGCATGATTTTATTTCAGCTGATACGATAAAAGATTTTACTCAGTCGGAAAAAGCAGCGTGCTGTCCTAACGGTTTTGAATTAAAAACAAAAAGGAAGATTGTATTATAATTTATAGAAGAGTCTTTGACCCTGAAACACATTTTCCATCTATAAAAGAATGTATTCGCATTGGTTAAAACCTTCACGTCCAGCTCCAGTGAGATGGAACCGCTATACCGTTACAACAGTTGTTTATACATGGACATGATGCTAAACTCACAAGATTTAGCATGAAGACGTGGGGGAAGAACAATCATACTCAATTCTAAAAGAATTACAAAAAAACATTACCAACCAAGAGGTCGTCCTTAATTTTCTGCAGAATTAATACGTTATGCCTTACGCTCAACAAGCCTACAAATTACTTCTGGAGAAAATTTTCATTACCATCTTTTTCTTTATTAGGGAAAATTCAAAAAAATTAATTAAAAGTTTTTAATGTGAAATGTATTCCCTGGTCATGGTAGGCAATGATAGTGATGATGCTACAGAAAAGCAGTGCTTTGACTTACTTTCTCGAGGAGGTTTTATGGCTCCATCTAGTTAATACAAATCACATTTACACATCTACAGATCAATATATTCACAGGTTGTAAAATAAAGGGGGTATTAACAGTTTTCAGATCTCGCATTAATTACCCTGTATATCCCTCATTGGTGTTAGCACATGCATGTTTTTAACATTAAAATGATCTTACAGGTCAGTATCTTGTGATACATTATCAACCGCTTCACTTGCTTGTTCAATACAGCGAGGGTTCAAGGTGGGCTACCTGAACGAGGCAAGTGTAGACATATCATTCACATATATGTTCAATGGGGAAACTAGCATTATCGTTTATTGTTGGAATAACATCAGAACGGGTTGAACAATGGTTTGGACGTACATGGAGCTCTTTGAATAAATTCCAAAACCGCACGTGAGTTGTAATTTATGGCACTCCACACCATGCTGTCGGGGATTAGGCCTGTGTGCCGTGGGTGAATACATTCTGAAAGATGTCGCTCCCCTGGCCTAGGTTTCACACGAAAAAAATTACTTGCTTGAAAGCAGAACTTGCTTCCATTACTGAACTCAACAGAACACTATTTAATCCAGTGGATTACTTTTACGACATCAGTAGAGTCGTGCACGGCGATAATCTATCACAAATGGAAGGCTAAATAGCGATATGCTTGTCATCATACTGTAAATAAGACGTTGCAAACGGTGGTTCTTGTTGACATTCCAAGGGCCAGCCACATTTGCACTGATCTGTGCCGTGAACCACTGCCCTTAAATTACATTGATTATAGCAGCCATTTATATCCAAACTTGGTCCTCCGTTGTAGGAATCTTTATTTGACCACTGCTGCCAATATTGTAACGTCGCGGCGAACAGAAACTGTGCGATTATTGTTAACATTCCGAGGGCCCCATTTGCACTGATCTGTGCCGTGAACTACTGCTCTTACATAACATTGATTTTAGCAGCCATTTATAAAATATTGCCGATTCGAACTTGGTAAGAATCTTTATTTCACCACTGTTGACAACATCGATGGTTCACGGCGAACAGAAATAAAATGTTCCGAAATGTCCACCTGACCTCTGGAAGATTCACAATCCGTATCCTCTAAAATTACTCTAACTGATAAAAGGTCCACATATACCTTCCCACGGCATAACATCTGCTTGCACTGAAGTCCTTCATCCCACTGAACCTTATTGCTGTATGTGTATCATTGTCTAAAGTTTAAATATAGACGGTCCACTGTTTTAATATTCTGTAATGCTATATCGTAAGACTGGGATTTTTATTAGAATATCTACAACTCACTATTATACTAAGGTCAAAATCTGTATTGTCTATCAGGGTGAACAATTTTATTTTCCATCTGTGTGTGTGTGTGTGTGTGTGTGTGTGTGTGTGTGTGTGTGTGTGTGTGTGTGTAAAGGAGCATCTGTTATCGTAAATAGTATACTACAAATAAGTATGAAATCTTTACATATTGTTAAAATTAATATAAAGAGCTAGAACATAATTATGGCCATTAATAGCCTTTCTATTCCAGTGGTACAATATAGTTTTAACATCTTGAACTGGACTCTAAATGACATCAGATAAATGGATTCTAAGTCAAGAAATATTCTTTCAAAGCATAACATGCATAATCCAAAAGCTGATGCAGACTGTCTATACATAACCCCATAAAGAAGGTGGAAGAGGTTTTATTCAGCTAGAATTGTCATACAAGACAACAACTATTGGTTTACTAATATACAAGGAAGCAACAAAGGAGTGGATAATACAATTAGTCAAACAACACGAAAATAAAATGTATGTGTGATACTGTCTAAAGCACAGACTGCTATTTGTTTTTAATATCCTGTTTATGTATTGCTATATCATAAGATGACCGAAGACTGGGATTTTTATCAAAATATCTACTACCCACTATTATACTTAGGTCAAAATCGGTATTGTCTATCAGGGTGAACAATTTTATTTTCCCTCAGTGTGTGTGTGCAGGAGCATCTATTATCGTAAACAGCATACTACAAATAAGTATAAAATCTTCAAATATTGTTAAAAATAATAAAAAGAGCATTGGCTATGAGTTTCCTTTCATTTATAGAATTTAGATACAATTTATGATTCTTCTGCAATAATAAAGATATTTATTTGCGTTCTTTGCTATTTCAAGTGATCTTTTCATTTTACTCAGATAGCCCTTCAAGCTGAAAGCGTTTTATCATCCTGCTACCCGAGGGCTGCAAAAGATTTCTTTCGTGGATGTTTGGATAACTCTTATCTGTTTGGGAACAAAGAACGGGCTTTAATGGAGGCGACATTTGGTTGTTCACTTACGGGCGGTCCTGAACAACTGACAATCCACTAATCTACGAAATGACAATCTGGTCTCTCGAAAACCCAAAATCCGATCCCTTTAAAATGATTCTAATTGACAAAGATCTACATATGTCTCTTCACTGTATGACAACTGATTGTAGTGAATTCTTTCGTCTCACGGAATCTTATTGCTGTATATGTCATTGTCTAAAGCTCAGATACAAACTATTCCCTGGTATGAGTGTTCTACTATCACAAAAAGACCGAAAATTTTGAAAATTTTAGCAGAATATATGCTCCTTCATAGAATTCATATTTTCGTCTACCGGCCAGAATATTTGAGGAATCTTATGAAAGAGAAATATGCGCTCTCCGGCAGGATTCCTCGAATATTCGGACCGAAAATGGAAAATAATAGTAGCCGAAAATAAATAAACAAATATACTGTTTAATAATTAAACTCGAAGGTCTACTCAGATATAAGAATCCACTAAAAATATCTTTTAAAGTGATAAAAAAAATCTGCTTTTTAAAAAAAAAGAAACAGAGTGAGTCAAATTAAGAAAGTTCGGCCATTTTAATTCTTTCTTTTCTCTTGTTTCCTCCTTAAATCCCGACCTCCCTCCGTCCAGCTCAAAACGGAAAACAATGCAATAAATTGATTTCTCATCAATACAGCAGAAAGTTACGTGGTAATAAGAGGCGCTTATCTGATTTTATCATCGCTAACATTCGTTCGCACAGCAAACACTTTTCGAAGATTCCGCATGAGAACGCCCACATCTTAGTTCGAGCGATTGGAAAAATGTAATACTTCAATCATGAGAACATTGTTATTTTCCAGATTGCCAATGAGATTTTTTTGTCCCTGCTGCTGCTGCTTCTGTCTGTAATATTTTTACGTTTGTGGTTGACTTAGTTACTTAAATTCGGTTCGTGCTGGTTGGGGTGGGTTCATTTTTGTTCATCGTTCGCGCTTTTCCCTGAGGCTAGCCAAAGAAAAACTGTCATTTTGACAATGCAACGACCAAAGGAAGACGATAAAAAAATGCTTCCTTGATTTTAATCATATTTCGCTCATTTTGCAGAGTATAATTGCCGCGTTTATTTTTTTTTCCTTTCATTCTGATTGTTTTTAGTTTTGTTTTTTGCTTTTCTTTTCTCTTTTTTTTTTTTTTTTTTTTTTTTTGCCTTCCCGCTTCTAATTTCATTTTCTGGTTTATTTGCATTCTCTTAATTTTCCTTTTTCAATGTTTCATTCTTTTTTTTTTTTTCTTGGTTCCTTCATTCGCTTTCTTTCTTTTATTCATTCCTGTTTCTCTTCTTCCTTTTTTTTTCTTGCTTTTTTGCTCTTCTTTCTTTTCTTACCTGTTTTTGTTTTTCTTTCAGTTATAATGGCTGCTTTCTTTCTTCTTTCTTTCATCTTTCATTCTTGCTTGATTTCTTTTTTCCGGGCTTCTTTCATTTTTTTTCTTTTATTTCTTATTCGAAATTTGTTTTCTTTCTTTTTTTGCTTGCTTACTTTCTTGTTTTCAATCTTCTTTTTTTTATTTATTTATTCCGGTTTGTTTTCTTTTCTTTTTCTTTTTCGTTCTGTTTTTTCTTTTAAAGCTTGCTTTCGTTTTATTTGCTTCCATATTAGTTTATTCTTTCTTTCTGTCATTATTTCTTTATCTTCTTTATTTTTTACATCTTTGCATGTTTTTATTTTGCTTTCTTTCTATCCTTTCTTTTACTGCTTACTTTCGTATTATTTTCTTTCAATTTGCTTTCTTTCTTTCTCTTTTGCTTTCCATTTTTCTTCGTCGTTTTCTTTTTTTACTTCACTTCAGTCTGTTCATATCTATCTCTCTCAGTCTGTTCATATCTCTCTCTCTCTCTCTCTCTCTCAGTCTGTTCATATCTATCTCTCTCAGTCTGTTCATATCTCTATCTCTCTCTCTCTCTCTCTCTCTCTCTCTCTCTCTCTCTCTCTCTCAGTCTGTTCATATCTATCTACTCACCCTCCTTAAATATTCTGTCTCCCGTTATCTTCTCTCTTTTAACTCGCATTCTTCTCCTATATTTTTTTCTTTGTTCTTTACAGATTTTCTCTCACTCTCTTTTCCTATCTCTGTCTGCTTATATCTCCATTTACCTTTTCTCTCTCCTCCTTTCTCCGTATCAACCTATTCCCCTTTCTTTTGATTTAATCTCTCTCACTCTCTATGATCTCCAATCTCTTTTCTTAACCTCTTCACATTCCCTCTTACTCTCATATATATTTTATCTCTTTATATTCATATCTTTCTCGCTATCTTTCAATTTCAGTTTTCTCCGAAGCAAATGTTGTTCGAAATTGATTGATTGGTTCTTAGTGATATCGTCAATAAAAGGAATCCCCCACACACACACACATTCTCTCTTTTGGATTCATTCTCGACACGAAAGTTATCCACCCATTTTCGACTAACAACTGAAAGCATGAAGCCAAAAGCGTTTAACAAGACGTGAAAAAAAAACTGTATCAAGAATAAATTGACGCATGCGCATTGCCTATACCCCCATCCCGATAAAATATCCTCGAAACATCACCACTGACCCTTTCTGAGTTTTTGATGACCAGGCAAAATATAAAAATACTGATCGTAGCCGCAACGTGGAGTAGGTATTCTCACAGATGATTTTCTCTGTGTAGTGAGTTCGATCCTCATTGAGCCACCCAAGCACGTATGTATTATTTATATCAGTTTATTAAATATCTAAAAGGTCAATCGTCACAAAAAAAATTACTAAAATATAGTCTGGCCTCTCCCAATAAGAACTTCAATGTTCAACTGTATTTAATTGGCTCGTATCTCAGACACGTCAAATGGATGTCATGCTGGTGCCCAACTTGTTCAAAATTGTCCAAGCTATCAGCTATATACAGACATTTTCTCAGATAAATTATTTAAAATGGTTTCAAGCGAAGGAATCCATTAGACTTTAATGAATGCAACTTTTCATCAGGCCCAATGAACTGGCGCCACAGAATGGCAATAATCGCATCACTTAAACACTTCCAACAGCAACAGCAACTAAGATGAACCTCACGTGTAACTTGAAAGGAAGAAAATAACATAATGAAGATATTGACTTTACACACTACAATAGATAAAAGAGCAGGAAAGAAACTCCGATCAGTACTAGAAAGACCGATAACAGTTAGTGGACTTGATGAGTTTAATTTCATGAAAAACTGTTTCAAGAAAAAGATTTTATAAATAATCTTAAAACTCTCCCGTCAATGAATGTCTAGTGTTTCCAGTATGTAGACGTTTAATTTTACAATTATCACGCCATTATTTGATCCATGGCGGTATTTCAGGTAAATAAAACAGGTGGGGCGTTTGGAAACTCTACAAAATGTTCTCCCTTAATATTTAGCAGCTAGCAAGCTAAATTTTCATGGTTAGTCAAGTAACTTTATGAATACCTCTACCAACTAACTACAAGGATCTTCTTCTCAAATTTAGACAGAATAATTGTTTGATTTCTAAGAAAACTCATACGTTTCCCAAGGTTATTCACCTGTGAGTGAATGTAACGTACCCAACTGGAAATCGAACTCGGCTCTTCGTTTAATCATTTCGAGCCGCTATCCATTTACACCGCAACAGACTAAGAAACTGAAAGAAATAAAAAGATCACTTGGTAGGTAGACGAATACGTTCAGACTTATGAAACAGTTGACGTACAGCAGTTCTATATTCTCCATGATGCGTAGTTGAGTCCGGGTAAACACTATACATTCAAGGAGTGAACGAAAAGAAAAGAAAAAAACTAACACTTTTCCGCAGTAACATTTCTTTCCTTGGTATGGCTCCTGGACCCTGTTCTGCCATCCATTTACTCAAGCTCGTTGGTTATGTTACTCATTGTGTTCCTCTGCACCGCTTGCCACCAATATCACCTGTGAGCATCAAATTCTCCAAGCCCTTTTCCTCATTATGCGTCCTACAAATTTCAACGGCCGCTAACTATAACCGTCCATTTCGTACATATTTTCCCTAAAACTTCTTCGTTGCTCCCATGTTCCTACTATTCTCAGCATCGTTCTCTAGAACTACATCTTTATTACCACGAATCCTCTTTATCTGTAGCGAAATTCTCCTGCATTCACTGTCATATAGGAAGATTTATATTATATAACAATAGAGCCCGCTTCTCTTTGTCTCCAACTAAAATTTTCTGTTTCTTAATATTTTGTTTAGCTTTTGGAAGGCATCTGTGGATCCCGTTAAAAATTGTGGAAAATTTCAATAGATTTAAGTAATAACCAAAAATGTCAATTAACTCTTTTTTGTGCACACGATAGGCTCAACATTCGCATTTATTAACCAATCAGAGACGTTATCCCAAACGCTCTTAGATCTTTGAAAAATCCGACAACCATGTGTGTCGTCTGCTACGAAATTTGAGAGATCACTCCAGAAAGTGGTCAACGATATTTCCCTGCTAAAAATATATAATTAAAAATTGGCAAGACTATTTACTAACCAATAAATTTTGAGTTTATTAAATCTAATTTTTGGTTCCCTGGAACCTATATTCTGTTATAAATACGCTCGCGTAAGTTCACAAAGTTTAGTTCTCAATTTTTTGTAAGCCTGTGACCAAGGTTGTTATTTTGTGCAGAAGTAAATTCTCATTCCTTTTGTATAATTAATTACCCAACCTTTCGCATAATTTATCGAATAACTTTCATATAATAGAAAGCAAATAAAACACTCTTGAAACATACGAATAGACTTATGTAAACAATATGTTAATATTAGTCATAACAAATCTCTTGTTCATTGAGTTCTGGAAAATTACACGCATTCATAAAACAACGCAAATACGTGACATTCTCCTGATGTAAACATATCTTTTCTTCTATCATACTGACGTAATTTATTTTGTGGTGTTGTAAAGAAGAAAAACAAAATATTTTGTGAGACTCTGTTTCACACTGATATTTTTAATTTGTTTCTTTCAATTTGAAAGAAAACAAATTCTCAATAAAAATGCATTTAAAATTTGTAGAGGCGTGTTTGAAGATTGCTTATTTCTTCGCTTTTAGCACGTTTATTCCCCTACAAATATTTCGCTATTCCGATGCACCTTCTGATTTCTCTGTCACATTTTCCATAGTGTGTTATAACATTTCCCAAATAGTTAAATTTCCGTACATGTTTGATTTTGAGGTCAACAATTTGTAGCTCGTATCTTAAGCTGTCCGTCTTGCGAGTGACCACACATTCCGTCTTCTTACTATTAACCTTTATTACTTTCTTCTCGCTTTTGTTGTTAAGATAAACAGGTCTCCAGAATTCACTCAGAAGCTATTTGGTACACTTTTTCACGAAAAAGGTAACGTATCAAGAAACACTTCTTTGGTCGTCATAGACTGACTACTAAACAAAACTAGAGTGCCCAGCCTACCTTTGTGTTTTACTTATAAATTGGTGGAGGCGAAAAGAAATGGAATCATGCCTTTTAGTGTTAGTGCGAAAGTGAACGCAGGAAAATAGGATGGTTTGAATTCGACTCGCTGATTTCACTTTCAGCGCTGAAAATCATTACGCTACCTGCACATCCTTTTTCTCTGCTAGATTCTATTTAAATCGTCGTTGTTGAAGTTCGGAATCTAACTGCAATTTTCTTTGGTTTCTAAGGTTATAAAATCAATTTTTTTATTGCTCGAAATTACTTATTTCTGTGAGAAAAAAAAAAGAAATAAAAAAATGTGGAAAACTTTTTCTTTATTCATGAATTTCCCCAAGGATTTTTAAGCAAAATACTAAGATTGACTTACTGATACAATAATAATAATAAGAAGAAGAAGAAGAAGAAGAAGAAGAAGAAGAAGAAGAACCTAAGTATAATTCAAAGATACTGAACTTGGCAAAAAAAGACGCTCAGGGGTCACTTTTGCATCAACCTTACCTGTAAATAAGAACAAATTCTTTTCAATTAAAAAAAATACGCCATTTTTTAGTAATGTGAATAATGATGAAGAGTAGGAAATACCTCCTCTTTGACTATATATTTTTTGCGGGTTATCAACCTTTTACAGGATATTTATGGGCACTTGGCTGAATGGTTAGAACTTTCGCATTCTGACCATGAGAATCTCACCGTGGTCGATTTGTCAGGAAGGAGACTTTCTCATATAATTGGACTGGAGGGGTTGATCTCACCGTGCGGCACCTTTGGAAAGTGCCTGAAAAACCATACCATAGGTTTACTCAAGCCTTGTGAGTGAAATTGGGTAGATGGAACCTTTGGGTGCCATCAATAGCTATGGTAGCACGAAGACACAAGTCATCGTGGCCGAGGGCTTGAGCGTGCTGGCCTTGTTCAAACTGTTGATCACACTATATAACACACTCTTTCTACGTAACTACGGTCTGTTCAGCATAGTAGCAGTATAAACCAGAGGTGGGCTCTATGGGTGTAGAGTAAACACACATGCGTCTGAGCAAGCGTGTGCAATAGGGATTGGCTAGCCGCACTAGTAAAAGGATAACCTCGAATACGAATGGCCAGCTATACATACATATACACACAGGATATTTAAAACCAGAAAATATTTTTAGATTGTAAGATTTTGGGTGGGGGAGAAATAATGATATACTGATCAAGGTCCTATTATTTAACCCATAGTTGGGGGAGAAGAGGTGGATTCATAACTTTTTCAATTGAATATAAGGAACCCGACTGGAACTGGAACTCGCTTCCCTGATTTTCAATTCTGTTTTCTATTAGACCACCCGCACATCAAAGCTTGTAACACGTGGTAATTCCAAACGGTTACCCATCTAAGTACTAATCAGGCTGGACGTTGCTTAATTTCGGTGATCTTACGAGAACTCGTATTCTTTGAATATGGAATACAGCTGCGGCTGAGATAATTGTTCCAGTTGGGCTTCTTCTAATAATAGATGAATAAAAGGTTCAATTGAACACCCACCCCACCACCTAGTCTGATTAATTGGGGTAGACGTTCAGTTACCAAATTTAAGGAGCCGGGTACTCCAATTCCAAGCCGTTATTCTTCTGCTGCTCGTAGAGTATTTCGTGCCATCTATTCTCTGATTACTGAAAAAAAAATTTAAATATGAAGTTGTAACAATTGTGAGCAAATACTGAATTGAACCTATATACGCTCTAAGACTCAAAGCGTGTTTTTGAAAATATCAAAACAAATTTGTTTTAAAATATCTTCTTTACCTTTGATAATAAACTGAAGCATTACTCCTCCTTAGATTGCTTTAGTAAGAGGGTATTTCGTTGGCAAAACCTAGGAGAATGATGCCATTAGCTACTCTATAAGTGATAGGGTTTAAATGATCCTGGATGTATAATCTATGGTTTAGCGCAAGTTTTTACACAAATCTCTTTTTTCGAATCTCTTTTGATAAATTGGTGGGATGTTGTTCATGATCAAATACAAGGACTAATTGTTATTCTTCTGAAGTGACAACAGAGGGTGGGAAATAGAAGCCCCTATTCTCTCAGCTCAGAGATCAAAGATAATTCTTGACGGCAATTGATTTTGCACGTAATTGTAAGTATTTCTAATTCTTTTAAACACGGCAAGAATATTTTGGTTGGTGTCAGATGATCCAGAACCCTGTTAAAGGGGTTATGGTGGCGGGAGCAGCCCAAATAATATCACTCTCCACCCTTAATATAGTCTAAAATCGTCTCCGAGCCCTTGTGGGTGACGAATTATTCTCCATCCTCCAACATCTCACACACAGGCGGGATGTGGCAAGCCTCTCGCGGCTCTACCACTACTTCAACGGAAAATACTCGGACGAACTACATTCTCTGCTCCCGCCAAGTCAAACCTTCACAGCAAGAAAACACCATGCTACTTACATAGTAGCAAATCACCCACATTTCCCCCGTATTCCATCGGTAAGAAGTAAGTTTCACTCGACCAGCTTCGTCCTTGAACCACTTCCCAAGAGAATGTTTCCCCGATCACTACAATCTTAACCTGTTCAAGGCTAGGGTTAATGGTTATCTTCCACTCCTATGCGCACAGATGTCCCCCTAACGTAACCCTCTACCTCGACTCTCCTATTAAGAATTCTGAGCTATTATACATTACATCACCTTCACAACCAAGCTTACTGCACCTGGTATTTCTATATGGTCACCCATGACCAGGCTTGATGTTGCTTAACTTCGGTGATTGTAAGGGATCCGTGGTTTTAACGCTATATGGCCGTAAGTCCTGTTTGTCGAGAAAAACCCAGAGCAATGGCCAGCTCGAATGTATAATGTCCCATAATTCTGACTCCAGTAATCGTTCCACGCTCAAACGACATTAACTCCTGTCCGCATCCTATAGCTGCCGCAGTTAAACTGTTACAGATACACAGCCATTTTTTTACCTATGACGTCGTATTTACTCGTGAGAAAGAGGGTATAACTGTTTCTAAATTTCTGCCACTTCACGTTATTTAAATTTATATACACTTGCACATATGTGCACATATATTTATGTATTCAAGTATGTGTCAATATTTTAATTTCTCTTTTGAATTTTGATATGAAATTTTCATTGTATAATGTTGAATTTATTTGATGAAAATTTACCTCTCAGATTGTGTTGAAAAATTATTTATTGAAATATAAATATTTCCTGATTGATGCTAGTCTATAGGGACCTTCTTAGTAGGCCTAACATAGAAATAAATATGATATTGGAGCCGTTAATAAAGAATGAAAAATGACAGCAGATCTTCAACTGTAACAAAAGGCAAGCTTCAGTGAATAAAGTTAAGTATGAAAAGCAGCAGAAGCACCCATCAGCAGGTAGTTGGTTCGTGAAATTGGTGAAACAGTAGTTGTGAGTTCAATCCCTGGACTGGTGAATGTCTACTTGCACTCACTGGAAACCGAGTGGCCAATAAGACATGGTCAGTAGAAAGGGGAAAATCTACCCCTTGTAGATTAAATATATGAAACATACACTGGACGAAGGCTACAATGATCGAAACATTATGATAGCAGCATCAAAACGAGGGCAATGGTCCGTATGTAAATTAAGATAACTCATCCCAGAAATCCAAATTGAAATAAATATTTCTTTTGTAAAATGAATGTGATTTCTATCATTAGATAGCAGACACATTAATATACCCACGTAAAGTGTATAGACATACGTATATATATATATATATATATATATATATATATATATATATATATATATATGTCTGTGTGTGTGTGTGTGTGTGTGCGCGCGAGTGAATAAAGAAAAGCTAAGTTTTCATCTTAGCCAAAATGTTTTATCCCCTATGTCGGCTAAGATAAGTTTTCCTTTTGTTTTTATTCCTATTGTCTTTTTTAAAGATATAATTTTAGTTATATCTGAAATTTTACATATTCAGTTATATGTGTGTGCGTGTGCGTGTGTTCGTGTGTTTATATACACAATCTATGTGAATATATGAATTTGTCTGCTATCTATCTATCAAAAGACATTCATTTTACAAAACAAATATATATATATTCATTTTACCAAACAAATATATATATATTCATTTTTACCAAACAAATATATATATATTCATTTTTTCCAAACATATATATAATATATATATATATATATATATATATATATATATATATATATATATATATATATTGTACAGACAATGGAAAAATAATATTCATGTTGGACACACTACGACATTGTCTTAGCGGCTGAGTTTTCATTTGAATATGTACAACATTTCTAAACATTTACAACGGCACACCTGTCCACATTCGCAATTCAGAAAAGTTCTTGCTGAAAATGCATCTATATTTTTCAGGAAAATAATAAACAAAGATTCTCGAAGTTATCTATATTAAAAAATTGAAATCAAACCTTAATAAAAACTAATTATGAATACTTCCCAAATGTTTTAAAATGTGTACAATAGATAGTTTAAAATATCGAGGTTTTCATTATTAGTTTTAATACTTATTTCTTAAAAACTCCCGACGCACCATACTTGGTTACCTCCCTTGAAACGGTAGGCAAGCGATCGCGTATTCCCTCAGCGTTCTTGACTTTACAAATAAAAAATTTAACTATCAAATGAACACAGCAAGTTTGTCTTTGAAAATGATGAACACTACAATATTTGTCTTGCAATAAACAACATTGATGACAATGGGCTATGTCGAAAGTACTCGTAATAAAATAATATGTATTAACACGGCGATTTTCTTTCTTCCTTTAAATACTAAAAAAAGCTTGTTCGTGAATATGAAAGGATCCAATTGAAAATAAGTAGACAAAACATGTCTAAATTATTCAATAAAACCTGTCTCTTCTACTCCAATAGCTTCATACCTCGCACCTCTCGCCTGTGGAACATCTTCCCTATTACTGTTTCCCTGAAAGCTATAATCTCCAACTATTCAAATGTAATGTCAATCGACATCTCCAGTTACCTTGATCTATCCACTATCCCTCTCCTCATCCTTTCTTCTATCACTCCCTATCTGCTCTTGCTCCAAATCTGCAACCCCTTGCATCCTAGTGGCTTCACGCCTTGCTCGGGGCGTAATGCTTAAAAAAAAAAAATATATATATATATATATATATATATATATATATATATATATATATATATATGGGGTAGGGCACTTCAACGTAATGTGGTAGCAGCCAGTTTGTCATGCTAGAACAATTACAACTGAATAGGAGTTCGATTCTCACAGGATGCGCCATACTTTCAGCCTTGTGTCACATCTAACCTACGCTTGGAAAATCACTATATATGCGTGTGTGGGAGTATGTATGCGTGTGTGTACTGCTTCTAAAATTTTTAGCAATTTCAATATAAATAAAATATTTATTGAAATATAAGTACTTGCTGAATGAAGCCAACCTTAAATTACAAACCACAGGCGAGTTAGAAGCTTTTAAATCTGTCTTAAATCGGGTTTCACAGATAAAGAGACATTTATAATAACTTCACAACTCGCAAACGATGAAACAATACTGGAAATGATAGAAATAATGAGCACGTACCACTGAACTGTGAACAAATCCATTGTGGATCCTGAACAACTCTGGTTCAAATCTAATAAAAGCAATATAAGAACTTCATCCTGTCCCCCTGCGTCCTCTGTGTGTCAATCTATGAAAAATTTAGGATTTGAGCCCGTGAGGAAGTATCGAATGTCAGATCTTAAATCAATTGGGTCTCAAATCAATTGACCTGTAAGAAAGATGTCTAGATCATCTTTAAAAGATATTCATAAAAAAAAAAACATTTAAAATGAACGACAGGATAAATTGAAAAACGATTTTCTAACTGTTCTTTTCACTGAAGAATACCGTACTACTCATGGTCGGCCAGACAGATGTAATAAAGACTGTGGTGAGAACCGCTCTCACAGCTTAAGACATCAACAATACAGAGGTGATGTAATGTTTGGGAGAGGAAAGATTATAGTCGGTGGAGTGCTGGACACATTGCAAATTCCAGATGCAGCCATGATTCATGAAGTCGAACACTTTCAAAAAAGAAAAACATGATTTTTTATGCGCACCAATGTTCCATCGTATTCGGCCAAGAATACTAATGATTATCTGAATAAAACGAGTTTCAAAGACAATCGTTTGATAAAATGGCCGGTTTGTACGTCCAGCCTTAACCCGATTAAAAATAATGCGGAGAATTTCGAAGGGGAAAGTTTTTCATTGGTGAACGTCAATTGACCGGCAAGATTAATTTTAGAATAGTATTCTAAATGTTGTGTTGAAGGAATGAAAAACATAACAGCTCATAAAACCAATGGATAAACGAGATCTGTACCAATTTAAAAACATGAGGCATTTTTTTTTATTTCGAATGAAC